GTTACCAAAAGGATTTTCTTCATTCATTGATAAAAAATCGATATCTTTTGTCTTTGTTTTACTGTATTTTCCACTAATTTTACGGCACATTGATACTGAAAATACTTGAATATGTTGTAGCATTATCAACAACTGATGCTGAGCTAAGAATTTAGCAAAGAATTTAAATTACGAAATTCCACTTTAGTTTACTTTATTGAGTAGAGTAAAGTTATATATTTTCACTTTATTTGGTAAAGTAAAAAAAACTATCACTCCTATTTGTTTCTCATATTAATATTACCTATAAGAAAGTGAAATAGACGACAAAGCTGATCAAATTTGAAAGTGATGATAATCGTCTTAAACTGAACAAAACAGATAAGGAAGTGTAAAGTGCGTCCGCAAAAAGGAAATAAAACACTCAATTTACTGGAAATTAACAACAAATAAAATAGAGCAGTCCAAAAAATTGAAATGTACTCTACAAGAATAACTTTTTTAATCAATAAAAAAGTTCCAAAATAACATTAAAATTGTTTCTTTGTTGTGTTTAATGTTACTTTAGTTTGTAAACTCTTGCTCAAATGAATTATTTAGCTGTGAATATAAATTTTCTTCCCACTATTTTTTTTTCTAAGAGAATTGTTTTAAATTGATTCATCCTCACCCTTTCAATGAAGAAAATTGAGAACAGAAAAAATTGATAAGAAAAATGGTGAAATCACACATGTAGATAAAGTTTTAAAAAGTAACATACTTGCTGCTGATGCATGTGGTGAAGATAAGAATAGCATGAAAAGCAGGAGTGGTGTTGAGTTACAAGAAATTTTTGGTATAGAGCATTTTTTGAAAGCAAACAAGCAGTATCTAGAATTAAATAAATAGAATGTTTAAAAAAAGGATAACCATTGTTTTTTGGGTTTTTATTTACGAAGAAAAAGATCTTTGTTTCGAGTATTTTGAAAACTTGTAAATAAAAAAATAACTGTGAAAAAGAAAAATGTATGTGAAATATATATGAATGATAAGCAAAATCAGAAAAAATTCTCTCATTAATTTTTAAAATTATTCATTAAAATCCAATGCGATCTTGTTTACTTTATAATTTAACATAAAGCACTTTGAACATTCTATTGAATTTACTGTATAATAATGTGAACCAGAACATATAGTACAGACTTCTTCACTGTGTGATATAAGGTCTCTATTGAGAATAATCAATCATTCTTGATTATCAGTGAAACAACTTTCATTAATGAAGATAGTTGTTGGCCAAGTCTATTCTCGATAACACATGGTGGTGAAGTCTTATTAAAAAAAGATTTAAAATTAGAGTTCTGATATCCTTAACTTTTATTCATATATATTTCAGATGAGATATCCACAAATAATAGAGAACATATTTATTCATGAGATGTTCTCTATTTATTTTATTTGATATATAAGATGACTGATAAGAACGATTTTGAATAGTTTTATTAATCAAATATTTTTTGATTTCAATAAATCAATTGTATAAAAAAATAAAAATAATAATTAAAATCTATGCCAAACGTATGAACAAAAAGAAAAATTTCAAAAATATTGTTAACTCAATTTTTGAAGTATTCATCAGAATTGAATGTAATTTTGCTTGCTTTATAAACTAGATCAGCATTATTAACTGAATTACATCCTTTCAATTGACAACCAAGAGTAGCAATATCAAAGTCTTCTGTTCGATTACTCAAGACAAAAGTCTTGAAACGTTCAACGAAATTATCACGAAATTCATTAACCTCGCAAGTTGCACAGACATGTTCAATAAGTGATGTTTGTTGAGCGACATCAACTGTACATCGATGACACCTTCTAAGATCCGGTGGAGGACAACGAAATGTAGTGTTATGGAAATATAAACAATCAGCAGCTCTTGCATCAAATGGAGAAACGATTTTGAGTAAAGGAGCTATTTCTTGCTGAAATTGATCTTCAACAGTAAGTGAACTAAGAAGCTTCTGTATACCTGCTTGACCATTGCATTGATCACTTGAGTCACATTCATAATGAACTTGACGACCTGATGATAGAGTTTCATTATTGCGTTCCATACCTTTCAAGATTCTTACCGAAACAATATCGCGTGAAGGAGCATTGATGGCCACTCCGGATCGACCATGAAATTCCAAAAAAGTTCTGTTAAAATCTAACTCCCATACAATCGATACCCAACAGTGTGAAGCACTAATTACGGTACAATCGGAAGGAAGCGGTGGTACTGTTGTATTCGTCATTGTATAGTTGAGTCGAATACCCTCACGACAGACATTGCACTTTAATGACGAGATCAAGACAGGTCCAATTGACAAAAATAGAAGTGCCGTTGTGGCGAACATCATGATGGCAAAATCTTATGATAAAAATGTAATGTTGAAGGTGTAATGTCTTTGACTTTTATGCACACAACTGAGATAAAGACGGCATAAACAATAAACAACATATTTTCTCTCAAAGTATTTTTAGTTTTGACCTAGTGATAAAAGTATACAACTGATATATATGAAACCACATAAGAGAAAAGATATTTGTTGAGTATTTGACTAACCTTGTTGCTATTTGAAACTAAAATATAGGCTACATTAAGTTCTATAAAATATTAAAACATATGGCATCTTATATTTTCATCGCCATATCATATTTTATTAAAATCAAACATTTTTGAAAGTTAAAAATAGTAGCAAACGACAGGGGCATCTAAGAACTTGGGTGGGTGTGGGATGTGGGTGTGTGTGTGTGGGGGGGGGGGGGGGGGGTGTTGTCTTCTCTTCATCCACACCCACACACGCACACCCTTTTGGGTAAAATGTTTTACATGAGTACGTCATATTTTCATAATGTGTGATACAGAAAAGAAAAGTCCAGGAACTTTCAATAAACCCAATATGTCCCGAAAAAACAAGTCCCGGTAGCCCCTCTTCCTGAGACTGATTCTAATGTACAGAGCAGAGTTTCTTATTGAATTTTATGTATATCATAAGTGACAAAATAGTAATTGTACTTTGCTTTTTCATTTTAATTACCACTGATATTTTGATGATCGTTACATATATGTTACAGTTGACATGGGAATTCAATTGAGATTAGAGTGCATGTCAATAGAATAGCTCACATGATAATTAATCTTTGTTTACTATTATGTGCACGTTTGCGATTTTAGGGATTCAAAATTATTGACTGAACATTTATAATTTGCTTTACATTGCGTTTAAATATTTACATCGAAAACTTTGATTTTTTAAAATAATGCTCGAAAAGGCCCAAATATTCAATAATAGATGACTAATTTACTATTAATTTTGAGTAAACCAATTACTTAATGTCCCCATATCCCCCTGATCGAAAAAAAAAACTATTTTACAAAAAGAAATAGCTGAATAACTCTTGGTTTCGTTCTCATCAATCATTTTAATGTTCTCATGTTCCGATTATCAGAAATAGAAAGTCAAATAACTACGTAGTTTTTAAAAATTAGATTTTTTGAATCATTTATCGTCTCTAAGTCCCGGTGTTCCTATTATTTAAGTAGAATCTGAAACTTTCAGAAGAATGTACATGATAACAAATCATATAGAATTAAATGCCTACCGACGATTGTAACATACTGCAAATCATTGATAACAAAAATAAATATATAGCATTGAATTTATATAACTCGCCAATACATACAATCATTAATAAATCTAAGTCAATAATACAATCATCTCTACGTATTTCCCATCCAACACTGAAGAACAATAAAAAGAATTATACAAAGAAAAAAAAGAAACTTTCTTACTCATAAGTTAGCAAAACACTTCAAGAGAAATTTAAAAAAATAATAAGGCTGATTCAATCTCAACTAGATTTTCAATCCAACTGCAACATATATATTAGAATAATTCTTTGGGATAGATTTGGGTCAAAATATTAATGAGATGTCTATATTTTACTTGCACAATTACCGTCAATAGTGATTGGTTTTAATTAGAATTATGCGTATTGTTCATTTATTCATTTTTAAGAAGTTTTCATTAACATCACCCATTGTTTGAGTTTTCTTTTGTTATTTTACCCTTCGATGTCTGGCTTCATTGATAGTTTTTTTATCAAACATTTATATCCCAAAAGTATGAAAAGCTAATAGAACAAATTTTAACATTACATGATTTACGTAGGAGATTGTCATCAAATGATATTTCTAATGAATGATAGAGTAATGACTGTTTACTGTCACACACAAGAAATGCTCTCATTCATTTTATAAGATTTATGTATTGTTTTTGATTGTTTTTTTAGAGAAAACTAATTTTTGAATACTTGTGAATAAAAATATTGCCGTTTGTTTTTGCAATATCGAGCAACAAACTTATCGAAAATGTTAATCTACTTGTCTTCATTATTTGTTAGGATTGAGACGTAAAAATTTAGGATAATGTTCGTGGTCTTACGAAGAATTACATACTAAAGTTTGAGACTTGTTGGATTTTTTTTATAATGGTGAAAGAGTAACTATTGTAAGAGCCCCAAGACTAATGAATCACCTTGTATTTACATAGAGAAAAGTGCTTAAAAAGTTTTGATGACATGGTTGTGCATATAGATTAGCCGTAAAATTACACACTTTGACTTCCAGTAATCTGGTACTGAAAAGATTTTAATGAGGCATAGAGGGCATATTAGAGTGTATTCAACGGTTGCATGTTTAAATACGTCTCACATACAAAATAGAATCTATTTACTTTCAAACGAAGAAAAGAACAGTTATGCTTTGAGTACACAATTGTTCTCCATTCGCAAACAACCTGTAGGCACTTACTGTTGCTTCACTGCCGAATGAATACAAAGTAATTTTTTCGTGTATTTTCTATGAAACAGTCATTCCTTATAATCGAGCAGTACTACTTGAATAAAGCCATAATCGCAATACACATTTTTTAACTGATACGTGTACTCGAATATCTTCGTCAATCGACAACGGCAAAATGAATAAGATCAAGACTATGATTTACATTAAGTGTATTTTGGTATTTTTAGCTGTGTATTGCGATGCACGGATAGGGAAAAAATCTGATGGATCTGTGAGCAAACGTGGTTGTGCTCGTCTTGGTGAAATCTGTACTACTAGCTCCGATTGTTGCGGCCATGATGATTCTGAGAGTGGCCATTGTGTTGTTTGTTATAGCTTTTGGGCTAGTCTCACTGGTAAAGGCCATGATAAATGTGGTTGTAGTTATGGTTCTGTTACTGTTGATCCGGATACCCATCGTGTCATCAGTAATGTTTGCAACGGTCCCGATCGATCTGGTAAAAGTGTTTGTCATACACGTGTTGCTCCTCCTGGTGATCGGTATTATCGTGGCAACAAACTCTTTTAGAGTCGTGAGAAAAACGACCAGATACGTTACGTGCATGAGAAGTTCAATAAAGCCGTCAATCATCACTAAAACTATTAAACATTATCAATTAGTTATTATACTGTCATATTCTACAATGAATTTTATTCCTTGTTTCTTTTTATTTTTTATTTTAATTAAAAATTAGCGCACGAAAATTATACTTTGTCTAGTTGCTTCCGAGCATTACCACCATATATGTTGAATCATTGACGGTAACATCCATCATCATCAGAATCTCATAATTCCTCATGTCTTTGATTCTTATACATGCAATATGAGAGCTTTTAGAGTATTTCCCTCATGACAATGATAAAAGTTTTGAACTTCGAAGTATATGCAGCTTCTCTGATACTATCAGAATTTCATCAAATATGATCAGATTCTGTAGAGTGTATAAATTTATTGCCGTATCATTGTCGCTTCCCTAATTATGAAATTTCATTAACAATAAATTTGTTCGAGAATGATCATTGAATGATAAACAAAACGTTTATATAATATCAAATTCAATAAAGAAGTTTTCTTAAAACCTATCTTGGGTGTGGATGTGAGTGTTAATAATGTCTGAATCTACACCCACACCCTTTTATTGCTTAGTTGTCTGCTAGTTGTACTTCTCTTATCTTTTTATAACATTGCGAATTAATTCTTACCATCAAAGAAACTGTTCGATGAGACACATTTTTCATTCAAGCTTGAGAGAGAATCGGCGTTACATTTCTCATTAAACAAAAGGTTGCTAAAATTTTTGAAAATATTCCTAACTATACACAATAGTAAAAAGCTTCAAATCATTTCTGGAAAACAGTCTCCGTGAGACGTATTCCCTTTACTGAAAGGGGGGTCATATGAAATAAAATGCGTTTGTATGTATGTATGTGTCAAGGTCAAAAGAACATCAGGGTCAAAAAAACATCGTCTGAAAGATTAATGCTCTGTTCTTTTCTACATCTACTCATGCAAAGCTTGACTAGTGGTTGGCGGGGGGTGTGGGTGGGTGAGTGTGGGGTGTGGATGTGGATGTGGGTGTGCGTGTGCGTGTGGGTGGATGTGGGTGTGGGTGTGGTGTGCATGCAGTTTTTGGCTGTCAGAGGCTGTATTCCTTTTATTCACATCCATACACACATCCTCAAGATTGCAAAGAAAAACAGGAAACCTATTGGAGCAGTTTCGTAACTGAAGATGAAATTATGCAAGAACCTTCCTTTTTCGTAAACTAGCAATCAAGTGAGCGAATCGAAGTGCCATATGAACAAAAAAAACGCTACGAGTAGGATTCGAACCTACGAAGGAAGATCCCATATGACTAGTAATCAAACGTCTTAAACCGCTCGGCCATCGTAGATGCAT